ATTTGTTTTTGAGGCAGGAATAAATTGTGGTGTCATCCGCGTAGATGCCAACTTGGGAAATTATGGCGTCAGGAAGGTCATTTATGTAGATAAGGAATAGAGTGGGGCCTAGGATGGAGCCTTGAGGAACACCTGCGTTCGTGGGATAGGAACTGGAGGAGAAACCGTTGAGAACGACCTTCAATTCACGGTTTGACAGGAATGATCGTATTAGGTTATATAATCGACCCGTAATGCCATAACCCTGGAGTTTGCGAAGAAGGCCGGCATGCCAAACCCTATCAAATGCTTTGGAGATGTCTAGTGCCACGGCTCGGGCTTCCCCGTTATTTTGAAGAGCTCGGTAGACTGTTTCAGTGATGGCCGTAAGCACATCGGCTGTAGATCGGGCAAAGCGGAAACCATATTGCTTGTCTGAGAGCAGATGATGGGATGTCAATAAGAGCGTTCAATAGACATTATGAATAAATAAAAAGTTCTACATGACCGACTAAATGTTCTTTTTTTTTTTTTTAAGCGTTTCACCCCAAGCAAGGCGGGAAGCCACTAGGACGCAAGAAGTTACAGAAAATTTGGAGCAAGATCAGATAAGAGTGATAGAAGAAAGGATGAGGAGAAGGGTAGTGGATAGATCAAGGCAACTGGAGATGTCGATTGACATTACATTTGAATAGCTGGAGATTATAGCTCTTACGGAAACTGGAATAGGGAAGGGAGTTCCACAGACGAGAGGTGCGAGATATGAAGCTATTGGAGTAGAAGAGACAGCTACATTTAGGAGTTTCGACAGTGAAGGGGTGAGAGCGGGATGCCAGCCTCGTCGGGCGCTTGAACTCATGAAGTCTGGGAACCAGCGAATGCAGCTCCTCGGAGAAATTGTCATGAAAGTATTTGTAAAACAGACAGAGAGAGGCGACACCGCGTCTGCGAGAGAGTGACTGTAGACGAGGTGCCAGATCAGGGCCAGTTATATTGCATATCCGCCTCTGGATCTTGTCAAGAACTCCGAGGTAAACAGAAGGGGCTCCAGACCATATATGGCAGCAATACTCCATGCAAGGGCGAATTGTTGATTTGTAGATCTGGAGGATCGATTCCGGGGAGAGAAATTTCCTGGCACGGCACAGGGAGCCAACTTTCCTTGCGGTGGACGAAACAATTGACTCAATGTATTTGTTCCATCTCAGGTCAGCCGTCAACGTGAGACCGAGCAGCAGCAGAGAGGTTCTCTCGAGAAGTTGAGCGTCAGACATTCTAATGGTGGGCAGGGAATGATCTCTGTGGTGATTAATAGAGAGAAGTTTTATTTTTGAAGCATTAAAGTTGACCAGCCAATTTCTGCCCCAATGTTACGCGACGTTATCGTTTATAAGGGTACAAAAAAGAATATATATATATATATATATATATTTATATATATATATATATATATATATATATATGTGTGTGTGTGTGTGTGTGTGTATATATATATATATATATATATATATATATATATATATATATATATATATATATTGTGTATTGGGGCAAACGTTCGGACAATTTTCATATAATTTATGACCTGAAAAGAAAAAAAATATATTTACGGATTTACATATCCCTTAATAGCTGTCTTCCTGACAATGATGATATTTATACTGGATATAATATATGTTTAACAAGAAGATGATATATCTCTCTCGCCATAGCACAATTAGATCTCATTTAAATACATATGGAGATCTACCAAACTATATCCGTAATATACTAGCTAATAAGAAAACTATAATATTCCTATTGACATGTACAAAAAGGATAAAATAATGTATGCATAATTCATATAAGAAAAAGGAAAAGAAAACACTCAATAATATCAACTATGGTCACAGTTACGATGTGTTGACCGTGTTTGGAAAATAAAACATTACTATGCGTAAAACAATGCATATTTTCAGTTAAAAGTAAAGTAAAAGTCATCCTTGATAATGGCTAAAAGTATAGCCTATAGCGCTTGGCAAACATACGGATAATTTATTATATAATTTATGTTCCTGAAAAGATAAAAAATTATACGGACTCATGACAAATTATATAAAAAAAAAATAAATGAGCGCTTGAACAGTTAATTTCAGCCTTTAAAATGGCTAAATGTATAGCCGAAAGTGCTCGGATCAAAAGAACATTAGGAAAATTTTTATATAATTTATCATCTGAAAAGAAAAAAAAATATTAGATCACCTTGTCTGTCGTTTTCAATGAAATGTGCATATATATATATATATATATATATATATATATATATATATATATATATATGTTTGTGTGTGTGTGTGAAAATATATAGAAAGTAGGAAGGAACTGGTTAGGTAAATAATCCAAAGTCCCTTAGTATTTTAGTTATTATTTTAAAAAATAGTGCTCGATACAAAAGTAGAGCATAAATATAATTATTTATTTAAAAATATGATTCCAAATCGCTACATAAGAGGTCTCATGTTTCAAAACAAGAGCCGAAAACTTCAATATAATCCTTTAAATTAAATTGAGTTGAAAGTAAAATGGGCTCCGTTCCATCTTTAAGCGAAATTTTTGTTGGAATAACGTATATCTGAAATTTACTTGTTTTAAAATTGAAATCAA